GCCCCGTACTTTGTATGTTAAAATATGCTATGATCTTACCCAACCCTGGTGGTGGCCAATWAGAAGACTTGAACAATAAAAATAAGAGCTAAAACACTTAATAATTATTATATCATTATAATGAATATATTAATTTTTAATTTGATTTTTGTTATAGGTAGGTACGCACCACGCAGTAGTGCAATACACAAATCAATATACATACTTATTTATCGAAAAATAATAAAAATAAAAATAATTCATAATATATATAAAAATAATTTTACACGTCCCGATCAGAGTTGAAAAAGCTGTGATCGTTTCCAGAAATCGGTAGGTATTATACTATACCTATCTATAATTATATATGAAGGATTTAAAATCTACATTATATGAAATTCGACTACCGACAGTAGTCCGGCAAACATGTCTAGCTTATAGGTAAGTTATAGTAGGTAGCTTATATATTAAATTGTAATGATGTGTCACATATCATRATTGAATGGTCTAATGAGGTATCTGCTATCAAGGATAACGGTAAATCTTTGGAAGCGCAAAAGCCTTTGATGGAGCCGCCTGCGACTTTGGCTGTCTTGRCCACCTTGTCTCCACTCCAGTGGTTGAATTGGGGAAGGATGTAGGGGGGATAAGCTACTCATCATTTTTCTTCAAATTATAGCGTACCCCTTTATTATATTCATCAAAGTTACTATTAAATTAATTTGCTTAATTGTTAAATTTCATTTAGAGTTCACCTTTATTTTTTTTCCAATTCAACCACTGCTCCTCGTCCTCCCATTAGCGCATGAGCACCATTCACGATAGAAACAACCTCCCAACATCGGACCCTGCTAGCGACAACTGACTTTTTACATTTTTAACAAAAAATTTATCAGTGTTGTATTTATTTCGATTTGAGTGTTTAAAACTTTTTTAACCTTATTAAGTCATCTGCATAAATCAAATATAGCTGCGAATAAGGTAAGGTACACGAGCATCATATTATCTAGGTATGTTAATTTTTATAATTTATTTATAAACATTTTATTACTATGGTGTATTTGATCATATTCTCGAATTACGACYTCGAGAGCCACCCGKCGACCAGGAGGAAGGAAATATCGCAATTTTAATATTTGCATCTGGTATCATTCTCCAGCATTTTTAAGTTTAGGAAAYGACACAGATCCATAACATCAACTCTCCCTAATTTTAATTACTTTTAATATAACTATTGACAATAGCCTTAGTTGTACTTCTTTATATTTTTTATTTTAATATTTTATTTCTTTTCTATTTTTGTACAATATTGATAATTTACCATAAAAATTTAAAAAAAATTACAAATTATTAGACTAACGAAAACAACCATTGTCCTATATTTCGAGAAAAAAAGATTAAAAATACAAAATGTTTTGGAAGCTGTTCTTGCCGTAATCAAAATATGTTTAAAAATAATAATTTAAAAAAATTCGTTTAAAATWGTGATAATTTACAAATTTTTCTGCAGTTATTTAGTAATTTTATTAWTATTCTAATGTTATTAATTAAGTCTTGAATTTTACAATTTTATATGATTCCTCTTCCTGATTAGTTGTAACCAAACATTGAAACATATATTAATATACATATATATATCATAAACAATCTTGAATTTTCTTATAYATCCTGAATCTTGAAGCACAACTAATTTGGTAATTTTGTGGTAGATATGAACTCGATGTCCAGTTCAAATATTCAATGGATCACCCATATTATTAGATTATTATAATAAAATATGATATATAATATTATAGAGCATCAGAGTCAAATAATTCTCAGATATAATAAATCATCAAATAGTAATCAGATAATTTATACATATCAATCTTGTATTATGTATTTATTAGTTTTTAATATTTAGTATTTTAGTTAATAGTGATATTCTCACAATATCCATTGTAATGTTGTTTTAAGTAGGTACACACATAAAAATGCAAAGGTTTCTGGTGTGACATAAGAATAAACAAATGTTTTCCTCTTCAAATTCTCACTAAGATTTTAACATGCGTCTTAWATGAGCCTTAAGGGAAAATGGAGATAAAATAAAACGCAYCTGTGACAAGTTATACTCTCACTTAYTATACATCAGGAGGGAATTGTTTTTTACAGATGAATATTATATGATGTTCATTATTACTAAGCTTTATTTCTATCAGATGATTCGTAAAAAATGTATATTACATAATATATAATATACAATTATTATATATTATATATTAATATAAATTCTTTTTACACAATTAAAAGAAACAAAATGTTAAATATGTTGATGATAAAAGAATAAAATAAAACACAAGGTTAAAAACATCAAAAAACTATTTAATATCATAAAATATCAATTTAATAACATCATTAATACTAGGTATAGTATAACAATCATATTTAGTATTTTTAACATCAATATCCAATATAATAAACTCATTAACATTTTAAATTATTAAAAAACAATAGAATAAAAAATTTCAAAGTATAAAAACAGTCTGGAATGTAATGCTATTAAATTCGCTTTGGTTTATTTATAATTTCCTTAATGTTAAAGAAATTATATTTTAGAATTGTATTAAGATATATTATATTTATACAATATACTAGTAATAAATATTATATTAAATTATCATACACAAATTCAATGTATTAAATATTATAAATTAATTAATGACTTAAAATATTTTAACCATCAGTCTTTTCCAAACATAATCACAATAAGCCGTWTAAATTTGATTGGTACAATATAAAAGATTTAAAAAAATGTATTCATTGGTAAAATAATGGTATTTTTTAATTATTTCCTAAACATATGTAAAAGAATATTTATAAAATAGGTTAGGTATAAATAATAAGTGAAAATGTAAATAATACATTATCATGATATTAATATATTATGGGATAATAATTTTAAAAATAATTATCACAACATATTCATAATTCTTAGTCGTTAAAATACTGAGAATAGTATATTAAAAAAAAAAATACATAAATACATATTAACAAAGAAAAATATTAATTAATTGTCTTCTGATGACAAATTATTCATTTTTGTTGCAAAAAAGAATGGACAGTTTTTTTCACTTCATTGATTATAAGCAAACAATTAACAGTAACAATGTCTTTATAAATAGGTTGAACTGAAATATAAATTAATACATTTTTTGAGTTATTTAAATGATGAGCATGTTAAATAAATGAATGCAAAAAAAAAATCATAACTTACACATAAGTTTTTTAATTGGAAAGAATGATATTAAAGATTGTTCTTGTTTTTCAACTATATCTATGATACTGGGATCTTTAATATGCTTTTTTAATTCGTTTAAAAGAGCTATTAAATCATCTATWTTTTTGCCATTAACTTTTGAACAAAACACAAAAGCATGGCCCATTTTATCAGGTTTCATCACACCAGTCTACAATAAACAATAAAACAACAAAATTTAAATGTTTAACTAAAACAGAATTTATAAATTTGTATAGACCAAATTTTAAATACCTTTAGGAACATATTAAGAAGTACAAAGAAAACACCAACATTTACTTGAGTAAGCAATGGATATCCAATTAATAATAAACTATCAGAAGTTTGAAGTTTATCAAATGATTCTAAGATAGCAATTAAAGAATCATGTTGTTTTCTATTATTATTGATACAATCACTAATATAAATCGATGTTAGGTCGCAAACAATTAACTGCCCATTAATAGTCTGTCTTGGTATTTGTAACCAAAAGTAACTGCAATGCATAAAAGAATATTTTATATTGAGATCAAAATTTGAATAATAATTTCACTTGTAAAGTTTTAAATGAAAATAAATTTTAAACTAACTCTCTGCGYTTAATACTGTCTTCAATAGGAATAGTAAATAATGATCTTGCTCGGTTACTGTAGTCTATTAATATATCCACACAAAACTTAGAGCTGCGTATCACAGATACAGGTTTACCCATTTGAATATTAAAATCAGATGAGTCAATTTTGGCATCCTATAYGAATAAATTAAAAATGTAACCAATTTTAAATCATTCGTTGAAGACACAAAATAAATATAATTTCATTATGAAATTAATATTTTTATTATTTAGTTAAAATAATATTGCTAAAAAATTAAATGATTAAGTTAACCTCTGCAGTAAACCACAAAACTGTTGATTCATATTGCCATTGATATTTATCAAACTGATTCACTTCATTTTGTAGTAACTTTGCTTCATCTGATGCTCGATATTCTGTCCTACGCTGTTTCTCAGAAAATGAATAATCCATGACTAACTTCATAGATAAAACTTTTGGCAAATCATACTGTAAACTCTTTTTAATTTAAAACAATCCAGCATGTTTAAGATAAAGAATTTACATTTTATCACTTAATTTAGAATTTTTTTTTATCAAATTTTTTTATTTTTACCTGAAGTTTATTATGTCCAACTATTTCTTGTGATGAGTCTATTTTTTTTATTTTATACCTATACACATATGTTTTAGCAACACAATATTGTAGGTCACTTAAATTTTTGGCATCATTTTCAATTTTTTTAACAAATCGTTCAATATTATTTTCAATAACTTGCATTTGTAGTTCACTAAAATATTTTGAGCAATTATACATTGTTGATAAGAAATCCTTAGGCAATTCTTTCAATGGAAACAGACAATAATCAGAGACATCTAAAACGATAAAATAAGTCATATGACGTAAGTAATAATCAATATTTATGGTTTTTAGTAATACATACTGCGATCTATAGTCGAAAAATAAGTATGAATCCAAGGTTCCACATGTTGTAACCCCTTGTATCCGCAACATACAACATAAACCTCAGAATTTCCCTGCTTACTAGTAACTGGTTTTTTTATTTGTACTGAATCAAAAGCACAACATAACAAATATATTCGACATAACGTATTGCATTCAAACATAGTAAACATTTTTATAACAAATGAACCACCTAAAATTCAAAAACATTATCAAAAAAAWAAATCTCACAAATAAATWAAGTATAAATACAACCTTTTTGAAGTATCATTAAGGCGACCATAGTCTCTACTATTTGCAGGCGCATTACTACATTTTCTTGTTCGTCAGGATTATTTTGACAATCCATACTTCCATCAGCTGTTACCTGAAGATCATAATAAAAAATATTATTTTAAATCATACATAAACCAATAATCAAATGATTCAAATGTGTTATTTACCAAATTTGCTTCTTCGCCAAAACGGTTTTTTACAAAGGTATATAATTCTTTGTAGAAATTTTTTTGAAAAATATCGCCAGTGTGATCCTTACCAAAAAACCAATGGTTTAATGTATATAACATAAATCTATCATCATTTATTAAATCAGGATTACCGTTTCCTTCATGATATGGATTTAATGAAACTCCTACCCAATCCCACTTGAATGATAAAAAAAAAAAATAGTTAAATTAAATAAAACAATTATTAACACTTATAAGAAATACTTACTTTGACGTTTATTTCTTGGCTAATGATATAATGGTTGAGAGCAGAAATAAAACCTCCAGGAGCTTCACATAAATGAACACTGTACAACTTACCATTTTCAATGCTTTTTTGAGGTATTAGATTATAATCGTTTAATAGTTCAAAAAACTTCAACCAAGCACCGGTCAATAGTTCTGGATGTCCAATTCCTCGAACTTTAGATATAACTTTACCAGCTGGATTTGTTTGTTTTGTATTTGTATGCCATTCAGTTAAGTTAAAATCATTTAGTTTATCTTTGACTGTGTTAAGTRATTTTTTTAAATGCATAAAATCTGGTAACTAAAAAGAAAATAATAATATTGTATTTAGTATATTCAAAATAAAAATTATGCTTAAGTTTAAAAGTTTTTATTTTAAACTGAAATTATTATTTTTACTTTCATGTGCTTTTAATTTATCCAACAAGTGTTATTATAAAAAAAYAAAATATATTATTGAGATCTTAAATGCTAATTAAATATATTCTATATACCTGACAATATGATTAGAGTTGGTAGTTATTTTATCTGCTTGGAATTTAACGACATTRTATTTTGCTTATGTTTAATATTTCTCCCTTATCCGATTAAATTTAGAATATGGATCGATAATTTGGAGCCCACCCAAGATTATTTCATGGGAAAACTCAAAATATTATATTTTATGAATGATCAAATAATTAGGTACCTAATAACTTTATAATATACCTATTCAGACAAGAAATATATAGATAATATCTGTACCACAAAATAGAAAATTTCAACTTTAAATTTTAATCCTTATTTTTGCCTGAAAAAYATAATGAGACTAATTTTGAATAGGCACTATTTAAATTTTAAAATTTTAAATACATGTTGGGTTCAAATATTTCAGAAATTTGTTATTTTAACTAAGTCTCCATGAATAAAACTTTAACTCATCAGCAACACATTCTCATAAAAATACTATCAGCGTTACAAAATTGAAATACAGATAAGAAATTAATTTTTCAAAAATAATTTTTTCTAGTATCTAAGATTGACCCTTGAGCCCTCAGCAGCTTTAATGTACATGAAATGTCTATAAATTATTATTTATGTACCAACATGCAGTTAGTGCAGTGATAAAGTTTATAAAATTAATTATTCTCATTACTGTGGTCTTGCAAATGTTATTTTTAGTAATATAWGAGCTCAAAGAATATAAAATTGAATA